CGAACATATCTTCGATATCTCTGACTCTAATTATTGCAAGATTATCGTTGAGTCTGATTGTAAAGAGCTAATCTCTAGTATTCACGGTGAAGATATCCAACTATTGCTCATTCCGTTGAGTCAAAACACCCTTTAGTTGCTGTGTGTGGAGTACCAAATGGTGTTCTACCTTTGTTGGCATCGGGTTCGGTATAAAAAGATTTAACCCAGCAACCCAGAACCTGGGTTCGGTATAAAGAGATTTAACCCAAAAACCCGTAACCCACTTCCAGAGATAGCCAAATTTCGCTAAAGAGAGCCAAACTTGTAGACAAGGGAATAATGGGCCAATTGGTTGGCGAAGCTCGGAACCAGTGTTCGTCTTAATCACGAGGTCCCAAACATGGGCTGCGAGTTGGCGAAATACATTTGGGCCTAGATCCGCGAGGTCAGCGAGGTCCACGAGATGAAGAGATAAGAAGTTCGTTCTACATTCAAATCTTGTAACTTCTAAGTTAACTAGGAGTTAAAAGAATTGAATGAGATTGTAATGTGGGAACACGATTATCGCACCTTGTAAGAAGTATGTATACAAAATAAGACTAGAGAGAAAGGAAATCCTGAACTCTCTAGCAATATACGCAATAACTTGTTCTTTTTTACTTAGCCATTTTTACATTACATTTTTCTTGAATCAATTAGTTCATCTCGGAACCAAAAAACTCAATTACTGATTCTTCCTAGATTAACAAATCGTATCTAGTGACCTTGCTCTTATTACTTTTTGTTTATGATTCTTTATCTTTTGGTGTGATTTGAATCGTACGAGATTCGTGACTCACAACCTTAGAAAATGAAAGAATGTTGTTGCTGATAGGATAGTTAAAGAGTTCAGTTTCATTGATGAATCATGTACATAAGCTATACTATATAGTGCCAGATTGGTTACATAAAGTTAGGTAATGTACTCGTATTTGGTTTAATGAAAAAATGTTTTCATTCCAAAAAGAAAATTGAAATGGGCTTGAAAGCATGGGCTCAAAAGTTTCATTATGTATCCATTTTATTAAGGCCAATGGACTGCACTTATGGCTCTTCGTCTCTTATTTGGCGCGTGTGCATGTGACAAAACCATAACACAAATACAATTAGGAAGCAACAATGTCCGAATAATCATAGTTAGGTTCGAAAACTTAAAATGATAGCAGTTTAGACCATCCTTAACCCTGAGACTCTAGGGATTTCATTAAAATGTTATGATTAAAAAATTAATTACTGAAGAGGTTTTGGTCTGAGTCGTCTCTATGGTAAGAGTTCCGTGAAACGGTTCTACGAGGACCATTTTATTTTTGT